AAGGATAGCGGCGTACGCCTGTTTCCTAAGGGACTGCGTGATTTTGTTCGGGTTAACCTAAACACAAAACAGTGTCACTCAGGATTTCATTGGAACATCATCGTGACTACGCATATGTACATACGATCGAATAGCTTTGCGGGAAACTGTCCAAATTCTCCTGAGTATTCTGTTGTGTATTAGATCGCAATAATTCCTAATTGCACGCACCTCGTATGTAAATACTCCGTTTCTTCTCTTTTCTCTACTGCTCTAGTGCCGCTAGTGCACTTTCTACACTCAATATGGCACCTGAACCTAAGAAGGAGGGCTCGACCCACACGTACGTTACGATGGAACTGTGTGAGTGTGCGATCCGCTTAAACAATGTTCAAAAGATTGTTAAGCGTATCAAAAACGGCGGATCGTCTGTGATTGGTCGCAGAGTCGATACGCCCGATACGCGCGTATCTCGATACGCGCCATGGGACGGCACCCTTAGCATTTGCCTTGTCCTGCCTTGTGTCTCCGAGATCTCGGAGAACATTCGCCTATCAGCCCATCTTTAACATTGGAACTTTCGTGCGTGTGACAATGGCAGTCTTGCCATCTGATAATATTTATAATCTCTGTGAATTCAAATATTCGAAAAGACAAAAGTAAGTCTAGTAACTCAAAAATTTAAATTAGAAATTAGTGTCTCGATCGCGACTTTAATTATCAACATAAAAACTCTTTTTACAAACGGTATACTTGATTACTTGTACAGGGCGATGAAGTAAATAAGTGAATGAATACGTCATCTTGTTTCTTTTTGTTATATTTGATGTTTCTCGGTATTATTATGACATCTTTCTTCACTTTCTTGATTATTTACGAAAAGTACGTTTTAAGACGTGGGATTAGGGGGGCTTGTTGATTAGATCTCAAGCAAATCTCTCTCTCTCTCTCTGTCTCTCTCTTTTTTAAACAATTCCTACAATTGATAAAAGCGATCCTATACGAACGTATTGGTAAATGAGCACTTGTAGTTCGCACGCCATTCACGTTACGTACGAGAAAAATACAGTTAATCGACAGTATTTAATGAGAGTAACTAATTATTAATGGTTACAATAATTGCGATAGATTTTTTCTTGTATAAATACATATTAAATAGGGCTAGGTGAGTTTCTTGGCTTTCTGGTAAAGTGTATCGACGACTTTTCCCATGCTGTGTATCGTGTCTAATGCGATTTCGTAGGTCTTGTCGCGTGGGGTATCTTCGAAAACGATTAAAACACCTTCTCCTTGGTCGAGAACCCCTCGCAGCTTCTTATCCAAAATCATCTGCGACAGTTTCTTTTCTACTTGCGCCAGTGGCAGAGATATGCACGAAGCGATGTGACTCACCTTCGGAAAAACCAATGTGTAAGAAAGCAAGAATCATGTTGCTAAATATTATTCAGAACTTGAGCACAACTTGTATTCAGATCACGTTTCCTTCAATAATTCAATATGATCAACTGATTTCTTCTCAGGTTTCATTTCAGGTTTGAACATGTTGGCGCGTGGAATGGTTGTTCGAATTTCCCGTCGCATACTCGAGTAAATTTTAAAAAGCCAAGTATCAAGTACCAAGTACTAAGCGCGCGCGCGTTGCCATCGTACATTCCATTACGTTTCGTCGGTACGTCACACAAGTCTGTGCGTAAACATACGTACATCTTTTCTTTTACATATTTGTCTATTTTTCTCGAGAAGAATTCACGTGGTCAACGAATTTACAACTAAAAAGAAATGTTCGAGTTCCGATATATCCATGTGACGCGATCCATACCTGGACTCGTGAATAAGGTTCAACTAAACGGCATAAATTTTGCTCCAGCATAGCGTCATAGAGAGAACCGAGATGTGCGCGTACAATTACGTCGTCTTCCAACTCCTGTCGGAATTGCTTAACCGCCTTTTGAAAATCCGCTAGCGATCGTCGATGACTGGCTTCGGCTACTGCACGCATCGCATCTAAATCCAGTCCCGCGTATTTCACCGCCAATTTGCCAGACATGATGGCCTGAACATCTTCCGGCGTCCGCAACATGATCTTGGACAGTAACATGTATTTGAGCGCCGTTAACGCCTTGGGACTTTCAACACTGTCATACCTAAAAATAGAAGATAAAGATTAAATATATAAATAAAAAAAAAAAAAAAAAACTATATGGTATCCAGATATTTTTTGTTCCTGCGTGCACAGTACCCTTCGAAAGCTTCGTAAAAATAAGAGTAAGCAGTCTTGAAGTCTCGTTCGTCCGCAGCGTGTAGTATTCCCGATTGCAGATCCAGAGCCGCTTGCATTTTAGGTGGACAGTAAATCGCGTTGGCAGTCGTCCTGGCGCTGGTAAGCGCCGCTCTCGCTTTTGCTAAATTACTCAATGCGTGATATGTCTTGCTCTCTAATAATTGAACCTCTACTAATAGCTGTTTGTCATCCAGTTTTTTCAGTTCTTTGAGGAGAGCGGATCCCAATTGCAATGCTTCGCTGAACATACCCGTATCAAAGTAAAGGGCTATTAAGCGGGCTTCCAACGATTGCCTTAGAAATGTTCTGCGTTCCTCCTTTGCCCATTCTATGCATTCTTTACACAATTGCACCTACATATATAACGTATATAAATGAAAAGATTCTTTGAAGTGGATAACGCACATGTACATCGCGCGTTTTATTTTTTAACTAACAACCAGAGCTTTTTACCCATGTGTTGGCTAAAAAGCTAGCTTTTGTCTGTAACCAGCCAAAAAGAATAAAATATCTCGAGTTGTATTTCTACTTGACGGATCAAGAACAAAGACCACGCAAGACGGCACACATCAAAACTATAAATATAGAACGAACGTTAAACGTCAACTGCATCGTCTTGCGTCATTTCATCATTTTCAAGTTTGACATATATATTTTATTGTATGAATAAAGTGTATCAAGTATCTTGATAAATATCCACGTGTCAAGACACGCCGCATCGGTCAGAAGCCAAGTGTCATAGCATAACCTACGCCTCGTCTCTCACGTACATGTCCAACCATGTCCCCAACTCTTGTACGTACCTCGATGCCGATACCAGCCTCCAGATCCAGGAAGAAGTCAACCAAAGACCGCACGAGCTTGGCGGCCTTCGCTTTACTAATGAGACTGAGGAACGGCCTGGTGGCTTTGATCAACTCGGCCAGTTCTTTCGCCTTGCCTTCTTTCTTGTAGAGCTCGCCCAGGTGCAGGATACCCTGCTCCTTGACACGGATGTTGTCCTCGTCATCGTCGGCAACGCCGATACTCGGGTCCGAGACGATCTCGTTGAGCAACGAGATACCCTCGCTGCGGTTTGTCACCGAAACAGCCTGAGCCCGCTCAAACAACATCGCACCGGCCATCTCGAGAGAGCGATTGGCGCCGCTTCCACGCGTAGAAACGCTAATCTCCTCGACGGCGTACGTTTCCGCGCGCGCACTTGGCTCAGTTGGCTCGCTGACGCGGCTGCAAGGAAAAAAAGGAGTATGTCGCGGGTGTCGAAACGTGCCACGCAGCAAGGACTCGCGATCTCTCGGCTGACGGCTCTCGCGTGTGTACCGTGTACCGTGTCAAGTGGCCTACGTCTACGTTGCGCGTGGCTGTGAGCTCGAGCTGTGATCAGGGTGATCTCACACACTCTCTCTCTCTCTCTCTCACTCGCGTGTACGTTCACTCGCGCTCGGCAGTTCCTCCGCTCGCGCTTTCCAGGTTGTCACTACTCACTCCTCACCGCGCTCGTCACAGCTCGTCAGGCTCGTCACAGATTCCCGACCCCGCGAGACCGCAAAACTCGTGTCATGCTGGCTACGTGAGTCAAGCCAACCTCCGTGGACCGTTTTACATCTTTCGCCCTCCGCCCTCCGCTAGCGCCTTTGCGAGTTTGCGCCGTTTGCGCCCCACGCGACGCACCTTGAGCGTGTCAAAATGTCAAATAACAAAAACGACACCTAGATCACTAGATGTAAACTGGACAAAAAGATATGGACGCTTTTCTTCCGCGTGCTTTCGGAACACACACACGATATCCCCAATGAGAAAAAGAGAGAGAAAATTCGTTTTCTGAAAATCATTAAAAAAAACAAATTCTCTCTTATTGGGTATCGCGTGCATCTAAAAAATAAATACGTGGCTATAGCATGTTTGAGTACTAAATTTTAAAAAGTATATAAAATTTCACATATAAAATTGTCGTTTACTCTTAGTAAAAATTCAAGATTTTATCATAATAAAAATCTACGTCTGTCTCTCTCTCTCTCTCTCTTACTCGGTAGAAAAAAATCAACTTGGACGTAACTTTGCAAAAATATAAAATAAATTTTATTCAACTGAATTTAAACATATGGTGCATTTTATGCAGCACCCGTACAATAAAGCTCCGAACGTGTTTTTTGTGTTTTGTATGCAATACTTTTTTTCCCAGTTCAATATTCAAAGACGTCTCAATCTACCCACTTTCATTGCATACCAATGAAAGTGAAGCATTCTTCAGTATCAATACTTGTAAATTACACAGTGCTTCTTCCAATCTGTAAAAAATACAGATACATATGCAATATAGTCGTACGCGTAATACGTATTAATTCAAATCAAGTTAGAAAAGATAAAAATAATTTTTGCAACACACTTTTTTTGAACATTTTTTATCTCGTTGTATGTTTCAGCAAAATCCTTTAATCCAGCATCAACGGCACAATACGTTTCGCCTTTCAATCCAATTAAATTTTCGATATTTTTTAAAGCATTTGAACATTTTATTAATATTTCCCGAGTCTCTTTCCATTCATCCTGCGTTTCAGGAAGTATTATCCCATTACACCGCAATACGTCCAAGGGTTCCAAGAGAGCGTGCAACTTGGACGACATATCTTTTACAATTTTAAATGTTTTGTCTCCTGTAGAAGAATAAATATAAATGTAAACAACAAATAGTTTTAATCATTTTACGTGGTTTAAATCTTACCGGTGCATCTCGTCACTTCAATCAGTTGAGCGTCTGCCTCTTTTTGTGCTAAACTTAAATTTATTATATCGCGTTCCCTTGCTTTAATTTTCATCAATTTTTGCGTATCTCGGTCAATCTCTTTCGCCACGGTAGCTAATTGCTCGACCATCAGACGCTTTTTCTCTTCAGTCTTCTTCTTCATTATGAGATCCATCATTATAGTTTGTAAATATTCGTCATAAAGAAGTCCAAGCTCTACGTCTTTGGATTCGGTGTCTGGCTTCTTTTTTGATACTTTTATGAATAACGCAACAGTATTAAGATTAAGAGTGATATGACAGCAACGAAAGCGCGGTCACGCGGAAGAAACTTGGCAGAAAAGATTCTGATAAAGCTCTTACCCATCTGTGACTGTGCGATGTCACTTGGCATCATGGTTGTTCTGTTACGAAAACCTATTCTTGAAACATTGAAATCCAACACATTTCCTCGCCTGGTCTCTGGCGTACTTGCCGTGCGAACTCTAGAAAAATATACATATTGTGTTTTACCAAGATACATCAAGTTTCACACCATATAAAACTTTTTTATTGAAATACATTTCTACGTGAAATATATGTATGTAAACTTTACAGTAAAATAATAATTTTATATACTTTCGAATCGCTCCTAATTTTGGAGTGTTTTTTCGCTCTTCCTGCATCGTTTGCTCGTTCGCTGCTACAGACCTACTGTCGCGAGATACTCGACTTGGATTTCTACAGGGAATAATGGCCGTTTACATCCGTGATGGAGCACGTGGAGCATATAGTAT